TTAAAAAAAAAAAAATTGTTTTACTAAATATTCCGCAGAATGATCTCTTTACATTTCCTATGATGCAAATAAGAAATGCTTGTTTAACAGTCAAAGGCTTACTTAGATGCTAAAATGCTAAATATTGAAGTCAGTAGTGATACTATGTAGAGAAATTAAATGCTGCCCTCTCCTAGGAGACATCCAAAAGTGGCTGTTAAATGTTATTGTCTATTTTTGTCCTGCAGAGGAATGACACCAGAGGATGCAGAATTGCAGTATCTGGATAATGCAAGGAAACTCCCCCTGTATGGAATCGACCTTCATCAGGCTGCAGTATGTGCCTTTCCTCTGTAACAGTTCTTAACCCTTTACACCGTAACATTAGTGTGCATATTCTTCACACTATTTTCCTTATATTTCCTATGGTTTTGAGAAGGAGAATTTGTTGAACAATCAGGAGCTTCTTAAATGAGAGATCTTTTCCTTTATTCTCTTTACCTTTATGTATGATTCAAGAGTGCTACTTTAGGGAGAAATTTAAAGACAGTCACTCTTAGTAATCACTCTCAGTAATTAAAGGGTTAAGGCAGGCTAAGAATGGGCAATGCCATTTTGAGCATCTAAAAGCCAAATTCCTCTTTAGGAACAGTTAAATGTGATGCACGAAAAACGAAAAAATTGGAAAGTCTAAAACATTGCATGGTGATGTTCATGTCAAAATCCATTTTCTAATCAGTGTGTGCGTGTGTTGTTATCTATAAAATCATCAGTTTGTGTTTGATTACTTGTAAAAGGAAGATCTTTATTTTTATTATGTATTTCTGTTTAACTTGCCACAGGATGCTGAAGGGCAGCCAGTAATTATTGGAGTGTCAGCTTGGGGCATTCATATCTTCCACAACAACAGACTGATTAACAAGTTTGTTTGGTAAGTAGAAATGTTAGAGTTGAAATAAGAAATTTTCACTTCTGACAAGAACCTGCCTCTGTTTACCATATGGTGTGACATGTTTGTCTGTTCTGTTTTACTTTTTTTATTGATCTGGTTTGTCTTTTCATTCTTTCTCTATTTATCATTTTTGTGCAATCTCTTCTTTTGTTTTTATGTCAGGCCAAAGATTGTGAAAATTGCTTTCAAAAAGAAGAAGTTTACCCTAACAATCAGGGCAGCTAGTGAGGTATATATTTACTTGTTTTGCCATGTATTATTCTGTTTTCAATTAGCACCAGACTGTGTTATGTGACACATGACTAATAAAATTTGAAATGAAGGCAGACACGTAACAAGAGCAGACAAAATATGCATAGGTGCAGTTTAAATAATTCAAGTTAAAACAAATTTCAGTCAAGTTCTTACATGCCGTGCATGAGAAAGTTTACAATACTAGTATTATCTCCATATCCAATGAAGCTTCTGTAGGATGTGCACAATTGCTTTCTTAACATTTTAACTCTCAATGTCTGATTGTTATTACTCCTCGCTAGGTGCTACACATTAACCTAGTAAGTTAGTCAGGAGATTTTGCTATTAGATCAAGATAACTTCTTACATGTACCTGATAAGTTTCTTTTTTCTTTTTTTATTTGTTACTTTGAACCAGAGTCAGAAATGACCTGAATTTTTATTTGCCTTTTGTGGTTGTTTGTCTCTTACAGAGTGATTACTACGCAGCAACAGTGCTGAGTTTTAAACTGGGAAGCTTAAGAGCTACAAAGCGACTTTGGAAGGTTGGAGTTGAACACCATTCATTCTTCCGGCTGTCACAGGCTGATCTTCCACCTAAAGATGTGGGATTTATCAAGCTAGGCTCCAAGTTCAGATACAGGTGTGCTCAGTGAACATAAAATATGCAGTCTCTACTGGGAATTTAATGGGAATTTATCAGTGGACTTTCCACAAGGTGGCTCTTCTTGTCCACTGTTTCCAGCTTGAATTGGAATTTTGAATGTTGGTTTTTGTGGAGGGAGGAACACCAGGAGACCCAGAGGAAAAACACTAGGAGCAAGGATGAGAACTAACAGTCAACTCTTACCTCTATGTGACACTAGGTCTGAGATCGAACTCAGGCCCAAGGGCCATCCCTGCTCCCCTTCTCCATTGTACAAATTATTAAAAAAGCAAAAAAAAGAGAAAATGGGATTGATGCTTAACTGACATGTGACTGCAACTTGCCCTGTCCCCCCTCTCCCCTCCTTCTCTTAACCCTTTAACTCCCATGAGTGACCAAGACAGAATTTCTCCTTACAATATCAATACAATGTTAACCAGATAAGTGATGAGAATAAAGAAAAATATCAACTTGGGGATAATTAGTTGATCCAATACTAAATTCTCTGAACTAGTATTATAAGAATAGTATGGTTGACAGAAAGGAGAATGACAAATTTGATCTGGGAGTTAAAGGGTTAAGAACATGCTATACCATCTACTCAAACAACGCACATTCAGTATTCAGTTGAAAATGAGATGATGTGCATGAGGCTGGGGTTTCATCATCAGCTGGGTCACTGGTTGACATACCCATTTGTGATTTATTGGCAGACAGCTTGTAGCCTTAGTGCAATCATGATTGTGCTTCTAACGTGCTAGTTATCCAAGTCAACCAAATTGAAGAGTAACAGTTAGGAGTAATAATGTAACATAAACTGGAGCAGACTCAACGTACTGGAATATCCCTCTGTAAGAGTCTAAACCTCCAAAAGTTGCCAAGGAGGCCAGACCATCTTTGAAAGAGGAGGCCTTCCAGATCATTTAAAATACTCTCCTGCAGATCTTGACTCTCCATTGGGACCACATTGCATTAAAACCCTGATGAGGCCATTTGATTTTTGAAGAGTTTTTTTTTTTTTTAACCAAAACTTCTATTTCTAAGAACTTGTTGATATGTGAATATTTATATATTAACCCTTTAAGTCCCACTAGTGACCAAGACAGAATTTCTCCTTACAATATCAGTATGATATCAAGCAGACAAGTAATGAGAATAAAGAAAAATATCAATCAGGGGATTATTAGTTGATCCAATTTCAAATTCTCCAAACTAACATCACATAAATTGTATGGCAGACAGTAAGGAGAATTATTTATGAAATCTTGGGAGTTAAAGGGTTAATCTGCATTTTTTTCTCTTTCCTCAGCGGCCGAACCCAGCATCAAGCGCGTCACAGCCAAGAGATCCTTCGCAATCCCCGAGATTTTGAGCGTGTTTCAAGCAAACGCTTTTCATCAAAAGTCCTTGATGGTAAGCCATGAGAAGAAAAAAAAATAAATCAACAAATGGAGCTTTAAGATAATGGAAAAGTCTTCCATGACTAGTCTTAACTCCTTGTCCCCTGGAAATTTGGGATTATTGAAAAGGCAATATCTCCAGTGGACCCAACCTGTGCCCTTGGTTACGGAAGGTGATATTTCTACAACTTTTTGGGGCATAGAAATGGTGCAAGTCTTGCTGCTCATTGAGCAGCTGTATCTCAGTGGGTTGAGTTTGAGTGGTCTTAAATTTCTTTTAAAACCAGATTTGAAGTTTTCCTTTTTTCAATTTGTAGGAAATCGCAGGACAGAGGATATTCCAGAAGTACCATTACAAGAGGAAGAAGAAAAGGTTTTTGACGAAGAAAAGAAAGATGACGAAAAGCCAGCTGAGAGTACAGGTTATACTGAAACATATGCTAACTGATTCAGTTAGAGTTATATTTATATTAGTTATTGTTGTTGTTGTTGTTTTCTTTTTCTTCCTCTTAACTATTGCTTGGAAGACTCAAAGTACTAAAAGGGAGATCTTCAGTCTTACTTTCAACTGCCTTTGCACCTAGTTAAAACCTTTCATTTAAGAACTGTGCATTACTACGGACCATAACAAATTCTGAACAGTTTTCCTCATCTTTTAGTTTCTACGTTGTCGTCTTTCCCTTGGTAGTCTCTTCCTCACGCTGCCCTCCCTTCTTTTCTTCTTTCTCCTTCCCTCCTTAACTTTCCATTTTCTTTAATTTACACTCTAATCCATCTTTTTCCCCTCCCTTGTTTTTTCTGCTCTTCCTTTCTTTGCATAACAAATTTTTTTAAGCCTCTCACTCTTTCTTCTTTTCCTTCCCCCCCCCCTAATCCATCTTTTTTTTCCCTCCCCTGCCTCTCACCTCTTCCCCCCCCACCCCCTACCACCCGCCTCTCACTCTCCCCCCACCCCCCACCCCCCCCCCCCCCCCCGCCACCGCCTCTCTTTTTCCCCCCCCCCTCCACCGCCTCCCCCACTTCCCCACCCCCCCACCACCACCTCTCCCTCCTTTGCCCTTGTCCCTTCTTTTAATCTCCCTTGTCCCTTCTTTTAATCTCTTTCTCTCTTTCTCTTTCTCTTTCTCTTTCTCTCTTCCTTCCCACATTTCCCTGTGCTTTTTCCCTTCCTTCCTTCCTTCTCTTTTCAGCTATGCCTTCCCTCTCTCTTCCTCTTCATTTTTCTATACTCTCTTTTTACAGTTTTCTCGTTCTCTGTTCTTTACAGAACCAGGTGAAGCTCTTGTGGCAACAGTTGAAGGGTAAGAGTTGTCTCGTTTATAAATTCAATTACTTTGTTCTGGCTGTCTGAATTTGTTTAGAGTCGGTTCTATTTGATTAACAGAGTTGATAATGTAAATTGATCACTGTAGAGTCCCTGAAGCTGACGTTTTTAGAGGTTAGCCGTTTAATCTCACAAAGGACTAACGCTAAAAACGTCAGTTAGAAACTTTTTACGGCGGCCAATTTACATTATCACTTAAGTTGATAAAACCGAATTGTCTTGTTATGCCCTACCCCCCCCTTCCACCGTTGATAATGATGATAATATTAATAGTGACGATGATAATAATAAACAATATGTAGTGGCTGTAACATAATTTTAATCCTATTTTTTTCACTGAATCACTGTTTTTTTTAAAATTTATTTAATTATTTTTTATTTCCTTTTTTCTCTTCCACAGATGAGGAAACAAAATGAAGATTTATCTCGGGAAATTCCATTTCTTACTCCTTTCAGGAATGTTAATAGCCAGCATTTCACAGGAACATACGCAAACGATGAGCTTTAAGGCTTGATGTTCTGACAAGATTTTACAAGTCAATTTTATATCATCCTCTTATATGCTAGAACATATTGATGTGTTAATGAGTTTAAATGCTTTTATTTGCTAAATTGTAATTTTAATAGTAGGCAATGGCTTTGCCTGAAAATTAGGCAAGATTTCCGCTCAGTCCCATCTTTCATTATGCGAACAGTTCTTGGATAAAGAAAACATTTACGAAAACAATTATTATACATTGCGTTTTTAAAAACGGATTAGTATGGAGTTATACGGAAATCTTTCCGAATATTATTAAGTTTGAAATGTGGGATAAAAATATCGTGCCAGATTCCTAAGTTTTTCATGTCCTCGAACGCTCTAAGCGCAAATATTCCTTTCTTCGATATCTTCTGGTAGGCTTTTTGTATTGGCAGAACAGAAAGATTAATGTACAGTGGAGATCCTCTCCAGTTTTACATGACGCTTGACCAATCTTTACCATGAGAAGTCTTAGAGAAATCAGCAATGGTTTTCTCGTCGCATTATCACTGAAACTTAGTGACTTGTCCCCGTGCGTGGCTTGGTTTTTTAGAAGACGATCCACGTAATTCTGGGTGGAAATAATTTTCCATCAGATTAGATTAGATTAATGACTTGTTAGATAGTTTTTTCCCCTATTTTACATTACATCCAGTTTTCCTTCACACTTAGAAGAACCGCGCGCAAGTCTTATAGCATATCATACGCTTTCAGAGAAGAGAGATCAAAACTGAGTTTAACTGTCAAACCTAGATTAGCGCAAACCGCCTTTTTGAACAACCTGTCCGAGCTCTGATCTTTTGACAAATTCTCACAACAGTTTGTCTAAGACTAAGTATGGAAACTTCTTAGGGGAATTTGTGTTTTGACTATTAGGCTTACAGGGTTAATTTTAAAAGGTGCTATGTTACGATGCTGTAGTTTGAAATATTTTGAGAGGCCGTGGAAAAATCGTTTCGTTTTCGGGAGGAAATTTAGCTTGCATGGCTGGAGGTTTTTAAAATGTGCATGCAATGACTTGGTTCTGTTTTTGTTTTTTTTTGTTCTTTTTAATTATGTCGTAAAGACGAGCTAATGCACTTATTTTGAACTCTAGATAGAGCAGTTTTCAGTTGAGTTTCAAAAGTATTCCGGGTTTGCTTTACTTTGGTCTGTGATTGGTCCATGCTCTAAACCAATCAGACGCCAAACGAAAACCAGTGGTTACTTGGTTACCCGCTTTTCCCGCGCTTTTGCCATATTTCCTTTCATCACTTCGAGTGCTCATTGGCTAATTATGACGCAAACCTTCTGGCTGTTGCGATTAATTTGGATTTGGTTTTTACGACAGTCAATCGAAAACAGTTCTATGCTACTTATAAATATATTTTTATCACTCTACTTTGCTATTTGCAAGATGTACTATCAATATGCACTATCTAAGATGAGTTAAAAGTAATTATGAAATGATGAATTTTTAAAATATTGCTGTCTTAGTATGGAATTGCGAAATAATGTCGGTATTTGCTGTGTGTTTTGTTTGAGCAGTATAATATGTTGATTATAAATGAAACGTTTAAAAGTGGTGCTTTTGTTTCCTCTCTCTTTCTTTCTTTTCTCTTTTTCCTCAAATTGCGAAAGTCAGGCCAGCATGCAACCAAAGGGAAGATGGGAGGGGAGCAGAGAGACAGTTTGAAACAGCTGGCACTAAATTAAATTTTAACTTTGCCGCTCCCATCAGTGACTAATGAGTAATTTCTCGATACGGATTTAAACCACAATTTACTAGGACTTGAGTAATCTCGTACTCTGATATTACCGTTTACGTGAAACTATTACTGAAACTGTACAGAAGCTGTACAACCTACAGGTCGTGAAAGGTCTGGGTACGAGGTTAGTACTCGACATGTAGTTTCGTGTAGACATGAGTAGACATCTGTAGACATGTAGTTTCCAACGAATTATTAACGAAGTCTTGTGATCGAAACATGATGCGTGTAACGGGAGGGTACGCCCAAGTATCTCGTTTCCTATGAAAGAAATTACGGAAAAGCATGTTGGATGACTTCGTGCCTCTGTTAAAAGCGTTCTTTTCTAACTACATCTATGGTGGGTTATGCGTTTTGAATAAACGAAATTCATCGATCAGGGTTCATTTATCTACCCCTATTATTAATATTAATTGTAGTATTACTATTATTATTACTATTATCATTACTATTATTATTACTATTATTATTAACATTATTATTATTTTATTAAAATATTCTTATATTTCATTTATTCCAATTTTCAACATGATTATTCACGTGAATTTAACTTCCTAATAGGCTCGTACGTCATGCAATCACCGGTGGGGTGGAATGATTACGTGGCGTTACGAGCCCTACAAGGTCTACGTAGGACGCTAGGGAGAATTTTACGTGGATTTACACGCGCCGGGGAGTCCTTGCGTGACACGAGCGCAACCGTCTGTACAACTGCATGACAGACTGCCAATCTCACCCCCGTTGTAGTAATTTGTTATGGCCCTGAAGAGAGGAAAAAAGGAAAACTTAACCCTTTGAAGAAAAAAAACATTCCTTAATTGCGGAATTTGGTCTCATTGCACGCCGTGCACGCAGTTACCAGATCCCCAGACTGAGTTTTGGTAGTAGCTTTGTGAGCCTCATCAATTAAATAAAATTTAATTTATGGAGGTTTCGTCCGTCGTAGTAACCTGTCAAGGTTGAAAGAGCAAGTTTTCATCCAAGCAATAGCTTTATAGAAATTTTTTTTTACGGCATATCAACTGATCTACAGCAAGACTTTCATTTTGAGAGCTACTTCCGGCTTTCAGCCCATTCTCCCGTCTGATTCACACGGTCGTGTTATTGTACACGTTGATTGCTGCTAGCTTTTCATTATAACAGAGGAAGGTATGGCCTATTTCGTCTTAATTTTGTTTGGAACAGTAAGTATCCTTTCGGTAGCTTCCAGCTTCAGCGAATACGCCCCACCTCCTACGATCGTAAACACAACTTCTGGTCCTGTACGCGGGGAAGCTATTGCCTTGAACACGAACAAGACCCTCGTACAATATCTTGGAATACCGTTTGCAAAAGCAGGAAGATTCGAGGCTCCCCAATCGCCGACCCCGTGGAAAGATACAAAGAACACAACTTCTTTCGGGCAGGCATGTCCTCAAAACCCTTCCTTGATCGTAAACTCGACAGAGAAAGATACAGCGGAAGACTGTCTGAATTTAAATGTCTTTATCCCGCGAGACAAAGAGACAGAGAAGGGTCTTAAATTATCCGTCATGGTGTGGATCTACGGAGGTGGATTTTCCGTAGGAAGTGCTGCATACCATGTCTACAATGGTCAATACCTCGCTACTGAAGGACAAGTGATAGTTGTTACATTCAATTACCGTCTCGGTGTACTAGGGTTTTTGTCCACTGGATCAGAGGAGATCCCCGGTAACTTTGGGCTTTTAGATCAAGTGAAAGCCTTGCAGTGGGTTCAGCAAAACATTGAAAGGTAACGAAATTTCAAAGTGTGCATTATGTAGATCTCAGTTGCTCAATTACCTTCATGAATTTATCTATATCACCCATGCCACACTCCAGTAACATTAGTCACAAGCAGAAATTCTGCTCTCCATGCTGTTTGCCTCTCCCCACCTACTTCCTTGAGACTTTTACGTGAAGTTCCGATATGCTGAATTAGTCAACTCAAAATAAGAAGGGGAAATAAAAGCTCTCTTCGGGAGATAATAGAACCCAATAAGTTTTCAAAGAAGAAATTAACACAGTCATGTTCATGTTTCTTTATTTTTGCTAAATGCATGCGAAAAAAAAGAAACCAACAGTTTTATTTCCCATGGAAGTCTATAAATAAGCTATCTCCTGTATCCATGCTATTCTAAAAATTGAGGGAGAAGTAAGTCCTGTATATTTACAATTTTAGCCAAGGGGATATATGGCTTCTTGCGCAGGGTACTTATTAAAGTAAAAGAAATAAAATTCAAGGAATTGTGGGGCTTGGTGAGTTATTGCAGCATTTACTTACTCCCTATTTGAAGGATAAGGTTAATCCTTAAACTCCCATGAGTGACCAAGACAGAATTTATCCTTACAATATCAATACAAAATCAACCAGATAAGTGATGAGAATAAAGAAAAATATCAATTTGAGGATAATTAGTTGATCCAATATATGCTAAATTCTCTGAACTAATATTATACGAATTATATGATTGACAGTGAGGAGAATAACAAATTTGATCTGGGAGTTAAGGGTTTAAGGGAGACTGGGGTACTTAACTGTAAACAAGTGAAGGAGTATTTTGTAAAAGGCCATCAAGCTATATTCCCACCCCACCCCACCTTAGTCCCTGTCCCCCCCCACTACCCACTTCCCCTGGATGAAGGGGTTTAAAATTTGATGTAATGTACGCCTGAAGAAGCATGTTAATTTGAACACTGTTCTGTAATTAAAGTTTTCCCACCCATAGCTATATATCAATTTATCATCTAAGTTACACTGCAGTCAGTCAAGAGCTCTTAACCATTCTTCCTATCTTTTGCCATGTTTCATATCTCCTTTCATTAGTATTGGTGGATGTGCTCAAAACACTCTAGAATGGAACATCAGCTTCGATGACTATTTTGCATTTGCATGATGTAAATGATGTGGTGTTGATGAATCCAAGCAAAAATCTTAACTTACTTCTGAGGGTCTGGGGTTCGATTCCTTAAGGGGACTAATGACTTTAACCTTGTCCTACTCTTGTGACATTAGATAAAGAAACATTTCATTGGTTTAGGGGAGGTTTTGATTCCTACCAGCTTTGCAAGTTTATCCCTAGCAATAAAGCAAGTTAAACTCCACATTTACATGTTTGCTCCCAAATCTTTCAAATTCAATTAGATATCAATCACAAGTACTTTATATTTTGTTAATTCTTCCACAGGTTTGGAGGAAATCCAAAGAATGTAACAATCTTTGGTCATTCTGCAGGAGCAGCAAGTGTTGCCTTACACATGTTATCACCCCTCAGCTATGGGCTCTACCACAAAGTTATTATTCAAAGTGGAAGTGCAGCAGCCACATTTGGGGCAAATGAAAAAAAGACAGCCAAAGAGTTAGCCAGGTGAGCAAACTTATTAAAAATTTATTTTGATGTGTAATGATTATTGTGGTAACCAGAATCTAAAAGCATCACAAGATTTGCTTGTCCATGGTTTGTGTATCTTTAAACACAAGTTTCCTTTAGAGACCATAAATTTTTTATCACTGCAATTCAAATGAGACATGAAATTACAATGTACGACACATTGACCATATTTTGAAAAGTTTTGAAAATTCTGTTATTGCTTAAGTGCATTGGACTTAACTCTCACTTCTCTTTTTTTCCATCTCTTAGCAATCAGTTTCAAAATAAGAGAGCCACATTAAAGGCATTCTTGATTAAAACCTTTTTTTTGCAATAATCTATGAGGGCAACAGAGCTCTTTGTGTTTTAAATGTGAACATGCACATGGTGGTTTTGTGTGTGCAAACAAGTTGCTCATTTAGATTAATTAGAATGTTTTTGTTGGAAATTAATTCCTACCTGTTTTTTACCTTAAGTTTAAAAAGCCATTTTACAGTTGTCTTTTTATTTGCCAGGCCTTTGATTTGGAGTGAGGCTGAAGTTGACCATGTTGTGATAAAGAGCAAAATCTAAATTAGCAATATTTTAGAACAGAGTAATTTAGATTTGAAAAGCACCAAGGTTTGTATCATAACTGACATTAGGTCACCCTTAGTGTCACTCCTGTTCAAAGGCTTGGCAACCAAGCACACAACTGTAAAGTTGACTGTAATGGTCACTGAACAAGAAGTCTGGAACTGAGATTCATGCCTGTGAAATTCTCCTATTTCAATATGATCAGTGTTTGCTCAAGATATATGATCTGGCAGATATCAACATTATCATCATCATCATTGTTCGTTACCCTCCCTATTGGAGAAAAGGGCTCTGTAGTTTCATAAACAGCTTCAGTTGTTTTTCTGAGATGAGATGATTCACTCCACACTCAAACCCTTACCTGGACTTTTCTGTGTGAGGTTTCATTACCTTAGCCTCAGTTTGAAGCTACTCAAAGGCTCCTGACACCTGCCTTTAGCCATTGTTACTCAACTGCTAAATGCATCACCAATGGCTGGGACAGTGATTGCATGCATCATGTGATGTCACCGCAGGCAATGCTACTGTCAGTTAGAAAAGCATACCTCAGCAGTTGTGAGACATTTGACCTATCTAGGACCTAGCACTATAGAGCATCCCCCCCTCTCCCCTGCACTCCTCAGTTTTAACAGTGATGAAATTTAACTTTAGGTCCCTTTAACTCCCAATGTCTGGTTGTTAACTTTCCTTTTTAGCAGCTACACATTTCCTTTCAAATTAGTTACAAGAATTTGTTGTTAGGTTAAAAAAAAAAAAAAATAAATATATATATATATATTTTTTTTTACCGACCTGACCTCTTATCACTAAATAAGCGTAATGAACTTGTATCTTCATGCCGACACAGAAATAAAGCGTTGCTATGCAACAGCTGAACTCTAAAGTTTTTAAGTTTACCGCGTATTATGTAAATTTTCCTAGTATATACACGATAGTCACATGAATATTCTTTCATTAAACCCCTGAAGAGTGAAGCGATTCACGAAACAGGCTTGTCAGGAAAATGTAGTTGCGTCCTTTTTTCCTCTTAAAATATTTATTCTGCTCTGCTTCAACATATTGAGCACTGTTCCACGCGAAAATCAACTTGCAGACTCCCTATATATATATATATATATATAATAAAGGAGAGGTTACATATTAATCATTTTTGGGAGTTAAAATTGTGACTTGTTAATCTTACTTGAGTATATCTCTCAACAGTGCTCTTGCAGCCTATGTTGGATGCAGCATGTCAGAACTAAAGAAATGCTTGTTGAAAAAGGAAGTAACAGAAATCCTGAAAGCTCAGAGGAACATCACTGGGGATCTTTTATCAGATAAACCTTTGCTGTTGCCAGTTGTTGATAACCACTTTCTACATGGTAAGTTGACTACTTGACAATGCAGGCTGTATTAACCTTGAAATCACTATGCATTATTTATACATTCTCCATACTGTTTTCTGTACATTTCAGGAGATGCAGGTAGGGAAAATCTGTGAAACAATCAACAGCTTCTTCAGTTCGTGATCATTTCCCTTATTCCTCAATGACTCAGAGGGAATCATGAGGAGAAATTAGATGCTAAAGTTCCTCTAAATGTAATTTCAGGTCAAGACAAAAATTAGCTCAAACATTCACAAAAGCCACACCTACATGCAATGCATTACAACATTACATGAACTACACTTTGATGTAATATGTAGATAAGTGCATTTTCTCTCAAAATTTCACTCCCAACTTTCAAGAATAGCAAACTTTCCCTCTTGAATTCACAACTCACTAGCATCCACAGCAAAATATCATTTGTAATTTTGGTATACTAAAACAATAGGTGCCTCAGAAGTTCGCAGAAAGTTCACAAAAATTTCATTCGCAGCAAAATTTCCTCGAAAAACCACCAAAAGCCAGGAAAATCATCAAAGTTCATTTGTGTTACTTTTACACAATACTGTAGGAAAAGGTCTTGAAGAAATAACTTGAACCTTTTCTCTTAAAAATTTCCGAAGGGCTCTGTGGGATTGCCTTCTCAAATATAGAGCCCGACCTGTGCAGAAGAATAACATTTGTCATGAATGCAGCACATATTTGAAAATAGAATTGTGAACCATTTTTCAATATCATTATCAATATTCTAGTATCATTATTATCATTATTGTTGTTATCACTAAATGACTGTTATTACTATTTCAAGTGTTTTGTTATTTTTTTTCGACACATACATGTCACTCTACTCTATACTTTGCAGATCTTCCATATAACCTCCTTGTCAATGGAAAGTTAAACCAAACTGTACCAGCAATGATAGGTGTTACTCGTAATGAAGGCGGGTTTTTTGTCCTTCCATTAAAAGGTAAGGACATTGTTTTATGATCAAATACCTGTATTTCCTCCTATAAGCTCACATTTTGACGTGATATGTGATCTGCAACATGAAACCTATTTGTTTTATATTCACTTATGGGTCTTACCTCAGTAGATCACAAGCAAGAACCAATCATAATGTAAGTAAAACTAGCTTATCAGTTATTTTTCTTTCTTTACTTTTTTTAGGTGTAACGCCTGGAATACCCAATATAGATAAAGGTATCAACCAAACCGCATTTGATAACCTTGTGAGGTATGGTCAGCATTGGACCTACAACCAAACCCAAAAACTGGTGGAGTCAGTGATTTTTCAGTATACAGACTGGGTCAACCAAACAGACCCTCTTGTAAGGTTTCGTCAAAAATACATGGATGTGATAACTGATTCATTGTTTAAGGCTCCTGCTGTCCGTTCAGCTCATATCTTTGTCAAGAACAAACTCAAAGATACTTTCTTTTACTGCTTTGATCATGTCAAATCTAAGTTTCCAACATGGGCTGGAGTTTTTCATGGAAGTGACCTAATTTACGTGTTTGGACGTCCCTTTGCAAAGTATAACAAGAGTGTCAGTGAACCTAATCAAACAGCAGAGATAATTTTCTCGAAGAAAGTCATCACCTTTTGGAGTAACTTTGCCAAGGCAGGGTGAGTCTGGGCGCTCATTCATGAAGTGATTTTACCTGATGTCATTCTGTTGCAGAAGTGTGATTGAGTGATGATTTCAGTGTTAGGGACCTGTTGTGATATATCACCTGGGGGTTGGTCTGAGGATTTTGGAGGGGGGATGACATAATTCTCATGGGAATACCTGGAAGAGTAGTCATCCCCAACAGAATTTAACCCTTTCACTCCTAAGATCTAAGTAGTAATTCTCCTTACTATCTGCCATACAATTCTTATGATGTTAGTTCAGAGAATTTGGTATTGGATAAACTAATAATCCTATAATTGATATTCTTCTCTATTCTCATCACCTACCTGCTTGATATTGTATTGATATTGTAAGGAGAAATTCTGCCTTGGTCACTTGTGGAAGTGAAAGGGTTAAAGGAGGGACTGTAGAAAAGTAACTACCATTGAGGAGGGATCATTAGATCACTACAGAGCCTTATGGGGGGATCATGTGACAAAACCAAAATCCTCCGACCCTCCCTCAATGATCAGTCCCTAATTGACATCACTGAAATTATTTACCACCACTTTTTTGTTTCCAGTGATGTGGTTGGTTGAACTCATTTTAATGACCTCTGAGGCTCTGAACAACAGAGGCACTTTAAAATAGTCCTCTAAATACTAGTCTATTTTACAATGAAACATCATAAAGCCTGAGTTGATGTTACATACTTCAGTATTTGTTTTGAGGGAGGAGTGGGTGGGCCATGAGGAGGCTTAGCAAGGGGTGAGGTGCTCATTTGAATGTAAATGGATTGTTGTATCAATTGTACATGTAACAAATTCAAAAATTTTTAAACAGCAAACCAGCACCAGATGACAAATGGCCAGTATACACTCTTGAGAAGCAGCAGTATATCTCTTTGAGTCCGGCCTCTTCCATCCAGGCCAAAATGCTTCCAGAAAAGATGGCATTCTGGAATTTACTGGTTCCATCTTTAACAGAACCACAACCAACATTGGTTCCTTTTATTCCAATGAGCCCTGTGACGTCACGTCCACCTGGACAGGCAGCTGCAGTAGCTGATAAAAGTAAGGCTCTTCATATATGGTGTATCAATAAGTGGTGAAGGTTTTTAATCTGCAGATATAAGTTCTGCAAAAAATGAATGCATCTAGTCTTATAACACATTTTGCAAGCCAGTCAAGTATTAACTTTCATTCTTTTGTGTTCAAACTCATTGAAGTAGTCATCTATGAAGGCATGTACAGTTTATTTTGATTCTGGTTTTTTTTTTTTTTTTTTTTTTTTTTTTTTTTTTTTTTTTTTTTTTTTTTTTTTTTTTTTTTTTTTTTTTTTTTTTTTTTTTTTTTTTTTTTTTTTTTTTTTTTTTTTTTTTTTTTTTTTTTTTTTTTTTTTTTTTTTTTTTTTTTTTTTTTTTTTTTTTTTTTTTTTTTTTTTTTTTTTTTTTTTTTTTTTTTTTTTTTTTTTTTAATCTCTGTGCCAGGGTAAAAAGTCAAGAGATGTTAAAACTTGAAAATGTTACATTTTCTTCCCCAGTAATCTTTTCCTCCTTGTTAACCCTTTTACCTCTGAGGGTGACCAGCATCTAATTTCTCCTTACAATATCACCCCTGAATCAAACGTTAAGGTCATGAGAATAAAGGAAATGATCACCAACTAAAGAAGCTCTTGATTGTGAAACAAATTCTCCTTGTTGGCAGCTTTGGAAATGTAAAGACAACAGTATGGAGAATATGCATAATGAAATATGTTGAATTGCAAAACTGATTGAAAATTTGTTAATGAAATAAGGGTAGGTTTTCTTTGATTTAATGTTGCAACAACAATGTGGTTTCTAAATAGATGAATAAAATAAAATTTTCGAACACAAAGCATAAACTAATAAGCAAACACAACTAGAATAAAGAAAATGAAGCCACTTGACTGAAAAACTTTTTTCACGGACCTCTAATCAATCAAATCAGACTGAATAATTTTTCATTGTTTTGATTTTACATTTTTTGAAGCCACCGAAAAACTTTTCTCGGCTTATCATTGCTTTGTTTTGTTTTGCTTATCATTCTTGTTGTTATTGTCATTGTTTCAGAAACCGAGTATGCCCTGATTGGTGTGGTGGTTGTCCTTGGTGTACTTCTCTTAGTCCTTCTTGTGGTTGTTTGGCGTTATAGGCGTAAACTAGGAGATGCTATCTCCGAACCTGGTCCAACTACCAGGCTAATATAGTTTCAACTTTAGCGGACATAGTCCCAACCTTGGCTAAAATCTGAGTAACATTTTGGCACTTACTCTTGTCTTAAGTTTTAATAGGGGTTGTGTTTTCTCTCCCTCAGTTTACTGTTTTAAGCGATTTTAGTTCCAAGCCTAGACAATATTGTGACTGCATTGGCCAGTATTAGTCTAATATGGTTCCTTTTGTCTGAGTGCTTCGAGGAACTTTATAGCCTAGTGACTGTAATGGGGCATTTTAATTCCTTAGTTGAGTGCCTAACCGCGCTGAGCCCCATAGTATTAAGCCCCACATTAAGCAAGGACCATTGGTAGAGAGATTTTGCGTCGTATGTTCGTTAGATGAAAGGCCTTTTTGGTTTATCCCTTTTCTGTCCACCACCCCATACATGGTAAAAGGACTGAGTAGACCGAGTGGAGTCCAATTCGGTCTGTTATCATACGAGTGGTAACATTATTGTCTATCACCAGTATGATCACAGACAGAGTTGGGCGACGCGACGTCCAGTTACCAATTAATCAAAACTATGACAAAATTTGAGAATAAATGGCGCATACTGTCCACTTACACAGGCATGACGTGTCAACTGCCCTATTATACTGTCCAATTACAAGCATGGCTTGTACACTGTCCTGTTCGTGCTCAAATCGGGCTGGTGATAACCAATCACTTTCGAGAATTTTGTTATGGTTTTGATTACACTAGAAACGATATACTGGTCGGTGAACTGTTTTTCAAAGCTCCTAACAGCCAGTATGGAAATTAGGTTAAGTTCAACCTATAGTTGGTTGTAAACTTACAAATGGTGGGGAAATTACCAAAAGATATGAAGTAAACTAGAAAGTACATGTATTAACATAGAAATTACAATAATGCATTCTTACGGTAAAAAGTATCATTTATAGTTGAGGTGGAATGATTTATGAGAATATAATTAAACTATTAAAGTTTAGAGTAAATAAAGTAAAGAGACCTTTTTTTGGTTAAAATTTAGTGAAAGTCCATAAACGCGAAAACCTTCGGTTCACTCTCGCGTCGTGTTCTTTGATTTGTTATCAATTACGTAAACTTCAAGTTAAAAACTACTCCCGGTAGTGATATTTTCGGACTGTCGGTCGTTGCTAAAACGATCGCGTTTGTTTCCAACTGATAAATTGTTTGATTCTGAGCGGTAAATAAGTTGCGTCCAGAATCGTACGACATATTCCTCTTTTCCCGGCTCCACAAAATTTTCCGATTAGTTTTGCGAAATATCTCCCATAACATCCTTCACAAAGTAAAAGTCAACTCTTTACTCTTCAATGTTTCGGTTTTTAGACATAAGACACAGCCTTGCCCTTTGCCTTTCTCTTCCGAATCCCGATCAAGGAAACGCCGCGGAAAATTAAAAAAAGGTTGGGGCAACATCCTTGCACGAATTTGTTGATTGAACTAAAGAGGCCTGACGTTCAGTAATTAAAATAGATTTAAAATTAAGAACATGGATTTATGAGGTCGGCAAGAGGCAAAGTACGGCAAATGTCTATGTCCGTAATATCCTAATTCGACACAGGTGTAAAAAGAAGAACCTGGTTCGATGTCTTCACCTCCCTACTGATTTTTGTCAGGTGAAATCAAGCCACAGTTAGTCGCTCTACTTCGTTTTACAATTGACCAACTAAACTGAGCGACTAGGCCGGAGCTCGTCGGTAATTTTGGGCCCGCCTTTAGTCGGAAATCCATTTGAATTACAAATATTTTTTTAAATCAATATTCATATTCTGTCGAGATCAGTCTTGCACGTTGAAAGAACCTATGAACTACAAGATATTTTGGGCGTATTTTTTAACTTCTCTTGAGCCTGAAAACACGTTATTTCAACCCCTTACTTCGTAAATCGTACGCTCTGTCATGGCTGGCGTGTGTGTTTCTTCGATGCTGCTCAGCAAGTCGTGTGGTTTCCTTTCGTCGTAAAAATTGACGGATGTCATCTTGTTTCCAATTTCTTCAAGGTAAATCTCGTTCGTTTCGATTTATGCTTTTCTTTAATAAAAATACGGTGCTTGTGTGTTATTGTTCTTGCCCTTCAAAATGAAATCACGGGGTTTAATGTTCAAGGAAAAGTAATTTACACCAGGAGCCCATTACACACATTACAGTTTAGGACAAATTCTCCAATCGCCATGACAGCTCAGATTGAGTCAACTTTTCGGCCAAGAGCGAGAAATTTGCATTTAGTACTGTCAGTACCTTGATCTCTTATCTACCAATTTATTATTATTTTATTTCTGTTCTGTTTTTTTTGTTTTTTTTTAAAATTAAATTCCATTCATTTTTTTTATATTGTACCATTTCACCTCCAGATCTCCTCAGTAATTCTCCTTCTTTGAACGCCTTAAGGATCAAAGCTATAATGTAATGTCAACTAAAAGGATGCGACCGCTAATTCTTGTTATTGTGACTTATTTCACGTTTCTTAAATTTTCGCCCTACTTCCTTTAACAAATATTGTTAAAATAAATCATGGAGGCTTTAGACCCAGACAATTTTTTTTCTCTTCTTTAACATAATTTGTTATTTCAAAATAAAACTTAATTAAAAAGAAGTTATGCTTAAATCAAATTGATGATTTGTCTTTGTCTCTGTAGGACAGCGTCAAGAATAGGACAAAAGAAATCTGAAAATCGTGAAATTCAAACAGATAAAAGCAAAGGATGACGTCCAAGAAGGTTGGTCCCTTGTTTACTGTAAGGAATTGTTCTCGTGGCCTGTGCAGAAAGTCCAGTCGGTGTTAACCCTTTAACTCCCAGAAGTGATTAACACACAACTTCTCCCAACGATATCCATACATTTTCCAGCAAACAGGTAATAAGAAGCATTAAACTTATCAGATAGAAGTTGTTTCCTTGATCTAACACCAAATTCTTGCAACTAATTTACAGGGAAGTGAATAGCAGTTAGGGGGAAGAATTATCCATCAGATCTTGGAAATTAAAGGGTTAAACTCCTAAACCTGAGATAAATTAATAATTTACGTTTGTAAATCAAAACTAACCTAAGTCAAATATGAAGCAATTTGCAAACAAAGAAGATAAAACTGTCTCCTTTATTTCGTGACCTCTTCGATTTCTGTCTGATCAAGGAGACTCGTGTCCCAAGGGTTTCAATAACGTTTTCATAGGCGGCTGCCGACCTGCTGCCGATGGTGCGGGTAGGCAGCTGTTCCCAGGAAGGGTCTTTAAGGCGAAACCCAAACACGAAAGCGTGCTCTAAAGCTAATCAGACGGTGGTAAGAAGCCTTATGGCCAGCGTTAGATCTCCAGTAATGACTCTTATTTTATTGAAAACCATAGTGGCCGTTTACAGCCGTGTTACTTTGATGAAGAGATGCTACCTATTCGTGTCGAGTGATATCCAAAAAAAAAAAGAAATTTACCGGCCAAGTTGTTTTTGGTAGTGTTAATTTTATTCCTCTTTACCTTAGCAAATTACCATGGTATTAAATCAGCTTGTGCATTGTCCTTGTTAATTGAAGATTATAGGCGTCAGTAGTCGGAGTGAGCTCAGAGATCCCTGTATATTGTTCTGACATGTAGTAAAATACCAATGTTTAGATAGCTAGGTATGTATTCATATCGTCTTTCTCCTTTCCTCTCTCTCTGGGAAATCACCAAGAATACAGCAAGAAAGTTGCGAGAACATCGCGAAATAAAGAATTTAAAGGGAGGAAAGAAAAATATTTCAACTTCCTTTGAGGTTAGTTGTATTATTTTTATAAAAAGTAAACTATCTACGCTTGTCAGTCTGATTTGCACTAAATGCATAAACCTGAATTTAACGATTTCCTGCTTTTTGAGGATAGCTAAAGTTAAATAAAAATGGTGGAAAACTACCCTGAGATGAAGAAATTAACATCTACATTTGTTGAGTTAACAAAATCTTGTTAGATATCACATCAACTAAAATAAGATATATATATATATATATATATATATATATATATATATATATGTACATATACATAAATTAAATAAAAGTAAAAATGTCTAGATAACAAGATAAATAAATGATAATTCATAATTGGAATTTACTTCACTTATTTCACGTACTTTCCTAAGTTTAGCTTAAAATCAGATAATGACTTGCAATTTACTAAGTCAGCGGGCGGTGAGTTCGCTATTCTTCTGCGTTTGATATCTTGGATCTTTCTGAGAGAGGTGGTTTTTGGTGTTTTACAGTACTGTTGCTTTGATGAACCAGAACTACCACTGTGTTTTTGACAATAAAACACCGGTGCCGGAAAAATGCCTAAAGCTCGCTAAGACCATCCATATGACTTCCTTTGTTACCATAGCAACTGTTCAGAATACTCCCTTTGGGATAAAAATGCTACGAGGCAGAATAAGCTCGGAATTCTCATTTTTATAACTTGTTTAACCCTTTCACTCCGAAGATCTCATCAGTAATTCTCCTTACTGTCTGCCATACAATTCTTAAAATGTTAGTTTGGAGAATTTGGTATTGGATCAACTAAAATTTCCCTAATAGCTGTTTTTTTTTTCTACTCATTACTTGTCTGCTTGATATTGTATTGATGTTGTATGGAAGAATTCTCTCTTGGTCATTCATGGGAGTTAAAAGGTTAAAGGAGCATTTATTAGAGAAAAAGAACATGGATTTTACAAGGAATAATTCTTAGGCCATAATCGGTGCCTCGAGGCTTCAAGATAGATTTTTGTTTCCCAGATTACTTTTAAAGTTTAGAGTTTATCATAAAGGCCTTTCATCATCTTTATTCCTTTATAAGAATACGCTCCAAATTGACATTTTTGCAATTTTTCATGAATTTTATTGTTAGATTTCAGAAATGCTTAACCATTTTATCCCTCAGAGTAAATAGCTTGTAATTTCACCTCGCAGTATCACCCCTGAGTCACACCTCAAGGTCATGAGAATAAATGATATGATCATCTCCTCGTTAGCATCTTAGGAAATGTATGAAAAATAGAATGGGGAATATCTATGCTGATTTCAGGGTTGTTTTTTTTCATTCCCGTGTTACACCAACTGATAACTGACAGCGCAAAAGATCTAGTCGCCATTTGTACTCAAAAGAGATTAAACACATGTGTTACGAAAACTTGTCTAAGTTAAGTCCTAGAACATTCTACAGAACAGTCTAGAACCCGAAGTCATCTAGACGTGACCTTCTGGTAAAAAGAACATTCTGGTACGTTCTATTTCTCACGTAATTATTCAAATTTAGAAACCGTGTTAATCTACTAAATTTAGTTCTTTAGAGAAGTCTCTAGATTCTTGTACTTTATGTATATAAGAGCGACAGCTTCATTAAACATTTAGTTCATAGATTGCAATTAGCCCAAAATTGTGCGGCACGGCTGATCTTATGTGGTCGCAAGCATGATCACGTTACTCCTTTACTGAGGGAACTGCACTGGCTCCCCGTGGAGCAGAGGATTATTTTTAAAATCTTATGTTTACTTTTAAAGATTTAAATAATTTATGCCCAAGTTATATCAGTGACTTGTTAGAAACTTATAAGCCTACTAGGTCTTCATCGAGTAAGAACTTGTTAGTGATTCCTCGCTCCAGGTTGAAATCTTATGGCGATCGCGCCTTTTCTTTCTCTCCACCTAAACTGTGGAATGACATTCCTGAAACCATAAAATGTAGTGTAGATCTCAACGCTTTTAAGCGTAATCTTAAAACTTATCTTTTTAAGCGTTATTTTTATGAATGATTACGTTTGATTATTTTTATTTTTTACTTTGATTGTGAAGCGCCTTAGAGCTTTTGGATAGGGCGCTATATAAAATTGTCATTTATTTATTTATTTTATTTATCAAACAGAGAGAGAGATTTGCGAAGAAGCTTAGTGCTATAAAGACAATAAGTCAACTACGTGGAAATAAATCAGTTTGTTGCTGTTACCGACGATCCTGAGTTTTGTCTAGGAACAACCCTGCACTACATTGATACTCGTAACAACATAACGATATTAGTTAAAACCACTATAAGCCTGGCCCAAAGAGCAACAAGTGATATTTTTGCTCGATTGCAGTGAGTTTAAGTTTTGTAAGCTGAAGAAACGTGAAATAAAACAGCAAAAGGACAATCTTTGTGACGTCAAAATTGAATAACATTAACTTTTGTGCTCGAGGAAAGATTATAAGAGGTGACCTAAAGAAAAAAATGCTTACATCGTAATATTCTATTGCTTTGTTCTATCGTATTCAATTCGTATGCACATCGGTAATAATTTCCTGCTCATAAGTCCTTTTGTCCGTATTTATTTGTTACACTTAAAATTTATTGATCACCAAATACCCACATTACCTTTCGAGATTATCGCGTGCACTTTATCCTTTTTTCCGACAACCTTTCTATAAACAGCTCTAATTTTTTTTTAATTTTTGGATTCTCTTCAAATCTCTCAAGAACACCTAATAAAAATAAATAGATTTGAAAAAAATTATCTCAATTAGGTATAGATACAAAGCCGAGGTAAATGATAATTAATCCTGAGTTTTGTTCAAAACTCTAAAGAGAGGAGCCAACGTTACATCGTCTGCACGTGCCTCTCGCGATAATTTGGTGTCTTCGGTTGAGTCCTCTATAACCAAGCCAAAATGTTTCTGAAACCTATTTCTATTTGGAAAAGTAATGATAAAGGACAATTATCCTCCCCTTCGTTTTGTGATTGCCTTCTTTACTTTTTTCAATAAAGGTTAGTATGCTTAGTGTTTTTCCCACGAGACAGCTCATCAAACTTGCATGCGAAACTTTCAATCGTCGTCACCTCTCGGGGGGTGAACCTTTATATTCCTCTCTATGTTAAGGGAATCAATTTTAATGTTTTTCTGTGCCTATGAGCAAAGTAGCTCCTCGCCGTTTAGACCAAACTATATCGAGAACGAGTATGAAAAGGTTTCCAGAATAAATTTCAAAGCTAAGACAATCACTATCTTTTGTAACAAGTTACAATCGGTAATGGTCTTTTTCACTGTTTTTATTTGGAAGATGAACTTTCGTCTTCAAATTTTGCTTAAGTTTAATATAAGCATTTTTAAAATTTTCGAGAGCATAAACTATATTCATTTTCATTAGGAAAAATAGAAAAAATTGTCATCCAAAATGGAAAATCGACATCACCTCGTTGCTTCTGGTCTATACAAGGGACCGTTTAGGGCTTGTTGCTTTTTTGGCTAAGCATAAAGTTTTAACCGTAGAAATTTCAAATTGAAACCCACCAAAATGATGGAACAAAGTAGCAAATATAGTTCTTAAGATGGCACTGTAATTCTTGTTATCTCATGTGTGGCAGATCAATACTTCTTCCGCGTAGAGGGCAAAAGTAGTGAAATTTCTCCGTTTCTTCAGGTAATTTTTGTGTTTAGTTCAGTGAGAGGCTTCAATGGGGTTCTTTAGTTTATCAGTTAAAAGAATAAAAGCTTCGCAGTTTTTAAAAACTGGCCGGTAATTTATTTTTATTTTTTAGAGTAAAGAGAAAGGACAGTTATTCCTTTGATCGCGGACACCCAGTAGGGGAGAGAACTCCGCATTCTTGTTTTTGAGGGAAAAAGCAAACTGGGTAATTATGATAATGGCCATTTAACAGTTGTGTACTTAGTTGCCAAGCCTTTTATTTGGAGTGAGGCTGAATGTGATCTTATTGTGATAGAGACCAGTATCTAGTTAGCATGATAACAAAGTAATTTGCACTTAAAAAACAGCAAGGTTTGTATCATAACAAGGTCAACCTAAGCCTCACTCCTGTTCCAAGGCTTGGCAACCAAGCACGCAACCGTAAAATCGGCTACTGTTTACATGGCTTGCCGTTTGGCACACTAAAAAAACATTGGCATGCTATGCATGCAAGAGTTATTTTTTGGGGGGTGGGTGGTTTACTTAAAACATGTAAGCGATGTCTACATGCTTATTGAAGGAAAGAAGAGTATTAACGCGGAAAAGAACGAAAATATCGAATTAACCCACTGCAGACTGCAGAGTGGGTTCAAAATTGTGACTGAGAATCTAAAGAGTTTTTTCGTCTAGTATGTGATAACATGTCATCTTCCAACTCACCGAGCGTCACGCAATCGCTTTTCCACGATCAGCTTTCACGATTACTTGCACTATTTTGGAATATTCCTTGCGCATTTCTTGATGAAAATCGATTGTAATATAATTTCAAGCCTTCATATAGTCTTCTCACTTTGCGCGCGAGTTGTTTGGTGTGATGTCTGAACAGATTTCACCAACGTAAACCATTTTTGTCAACAAAATAAACACATTCCGCTGAAAAAGATGATAATACGGACCACGTTCAAAGCTGTCAATTGTGTCTCTAATGTTGTGCGTGTTAAATATTCAATAGTGACATCTCGTTTAAATCTACATCTACTTTTATTACGTCGGTAATATCTGTACAGACATCACACCAACCAACTCGCGCGCAAAGTGAGAAAACTATGTGAAGACTTGAATATAAAACGATCGATTTTCTTAAAGTAATGGCCAGGAATATTCCAAAATAGCGCAAATAATCGCGAAAGCTAATCACGGAAAAGCGATTGCGTGACGCTCTGTAAGTTGTAAGATGACATGTTATCAAATACCAGACGAAAAAACTCTTTAGATTCTCAGTCTGCATTTTGTACCCACTCTACAGTCTGCAGTCTACATTTTGTATCCGGTCTGCAGGCTGTAGTCTGCACTTTTTACTAACAGGTACCGTGGCACCAATACAATTTATTTTTGGTTACAGTTATTCGCGCAACACACACAATCTACCACAAAATACCTGTGTGAGAGTTAATTCGACATTTTCGTTCTTTTCCGCGTTAATACTCTTCTTTCCTTTTGTAAAAATGTAGACATCACTTACAATGTTTCAAGTAATCCACCCACCCCAAAAATATAAGTCTTGCATGCATAGCATGCCTATGTTTTACATTGTGGACGTTGCCAAGGCTGGATTCAACTTTTAATTCAGGGAAAAAGACCTTTTGTGATGAGAATTTGTTTCATTGTTATGTTGGAGGCGGAAGTAGCTTTTCCACTGACTACGTGCAATTGTTTTCGCGTTCAGCGGTCCTAAAATGTGTTTAAATTGTCATTGCATGATCTGTGATTGAATCAATCCTCTTATAGTGAATACCTGAGGCCCGCTGCTTGCGTAAAACTGCGGTTTGGGTGAGACCTCGTGTAAATAACCAGTCCAAAGAGTTTTATTCTCGTTTGTGGTAAGATATTCTAATTACGTTGGATAAACGAAATGACATAATTGAGTTCCGTATTACTGCTGCTGTGAAAAGATACCCTAGAACACCGAAAAAATTATGCTGTGGCAAGTGATAAACTTAAGACAGGCAATTATCGTGTTTTCTGAGAAGACGCCATATTTCTGACTCTTGCTTTTAATGTACCTCACTACTCAGCATCAAAGCCAAATGGTTCCCTAGTAACAACTGATTAAAATCGCGTCTCAATATCTTCTTGCTCAAACACTACTTGCATTCCTACTTGTGCTCCCCTCTTAGTGCAACACAGAAGAAGCGTTTGCTTAAATTCAGAAATTCTAAACGTATACATTACTGGATTCAAAAAAGCGTGAGAAAAATTTAAAATGTTCACCACAAAAATAACCAGATGTGGTGGTATTTCCCCAGTTATAGATATTAAAATGTTCATGATAAGCAAGGGAAGCCAGCTTATTAAAGCCAACATGGATACAAAAAGTAGGGTCTTTGTTAAGCGTTTGCTTCGCGAGGCTCTGTTTTGTTGTTGTGAAATAAACCTTCCGTGTTTAGAATTTCTCCAGATCCCAATGTTACAGACACATACTATGATTGTAAGACATCCTTGGACGTAGACAGTCACGTAAAAAGCAGATTCAAATGAACTAAAGACAATTAACAGAGTTATAAATGAAGGCAGCAAGACAGCGAGTGTCCAGAGAATGAAAATGGCGATGCAGTATGTTCTGGTGGACAGTGACCGGTGGTGAAACGGCCAATATACTGCATAAAATCTCTCACAGGATATGAAGGCTGCAGATAGATATGAACCAAACAAAAAAATGGCATCGATGCATCTGAAGACCATTGGATGAAAGCTGGATTTTGCTGTCCAAAGCTGATAGTCATATCCAACGAAGTAAATGTAAAAGGGTACAGAGAAGGTTCCCAACATCAAATCAGCAAACGCCATGTTCATAACTAGGAATAAACTTTTCCTACGAAGTGCTTTGGTGACCGCAAAGAGAACAAGAGCGAGCAAGTTTCCTGCAATGATTAGGACAGAAGATAACATGAAGACGCTGCACAATGCGATGCCTTCTGATTCGGAAGGAAAACGTTTTGCGAATTCGGACGCATTTTGCAGGCTTTCGTTCACTACCGACGTGTCAATCATTGTAAACTTAAAACTCAGTGAGTTGAGGTATACAGTTGATCGTAAAAAAGAAGCAGTAATTCAAAGGAGAAGCGCTCAACCTTTTGCAATAAAACAAAATAAGATCAGCTGGAATTTTATGTAAATATCATAGTAATTTTATTCAAGGTATTTATGTAGTTGGAGTAGGCAATGAGTTTGAACTAATATTGTACCACGTAGAACCATTCGTGTCACAATAAATGAAATGTCCGTTTATCAAAAACCGTAACAGCTGTATTTTTTTTACTGAGTGGTAAGGCTTTGAAAGCCGACTGAGAGATAATCGCGGGGGTAAACCTGAAATTTGCTCAAAAACTGAGTTTTTTGTTTTCCTCGGAATTTGCAGCTATGGGTATTCAACTTCGCTATGGAAAAATAATTTTCTACTTATTTTCACTATTTTTGCCTTTTTGAGCGATTTCAAAATTCCCGCTCTGGCTAATGGTGTGGTTACCATGGCAACGAGAAGAGCATTTTTTGATTTTTCAGTTGTTTATGATGTGTTATTCTGGCAACTAAGCTCCCAAACGGGCAGGATTTAACGAGAGATACTTTATGTAGTCTTATCTGAAGGGTTTTCTAGGCTCAAACCATTATGGGATAGATTTAGAGGCAGTTTTGGTCGAATGTGACACTCATCTCCACCGCAGTGCAAATATATGTGTACTCATCATTCGGAGCAATCAAAGGAAAAGTTATAATCAAAGGAAAAGTTATATCGAAAATTGTCGGAGACAAAAAGTAGATCTGTCTACAGGAAGAAAAGAAAGATAAGTTTTTCTGGAAGGCGAAAACAGAAACAAGAGTCTGAAGAAACAGCTCCCGATGTTGACGAAATCGCCGCCTCAACTCCGAGCACTTCGCTGGATGAAAATCAGCTCTCCGACTCGGACTCTAAAGAAACCGTTGGTTCCTCCAGAAAGAAAATGAAATATGCCGCTTCTTTTAGACAGCTCTGATGAAGAGTATACCTTCAATACCGAGGAAAGCGAGGGATTTAGATTAATAAATGAGAAAAATTTATCCACGGCCGTCTCAAAGGCACACGTGTGTGAGAAAGGTGAGAAATTTTTTTAAATCTATGTCTGTCTCTGTTCTCGATTATGACTTATTTCCCATATCATATCGACCCATAGTTCCAGTTTTTCCCTGCTAAATATACTGATTTATCTATTAAATCTTGGATTGGGTAAGAGAAAGATTTTTAGGTATTGTGCATATACACTGTAAACAAAAAATTATGGGGAAAAATCACAGAATGTGTATTTCTGACTTGAGGTCTTTACTTTGCTTATAACAAAATTGCCCGATTTATCTTACAATTTTCACTTGATTTGTCTTTTGGCACCTTAACTCTTGAGGAAGATAAAAGTGCAAGAGTGGGGGTTACAGTTTTCCCTTCAGTGTAGTTCCTGTGAGGAATCCAGTCCATTTCCACCATCCAGTGGTGTGACCCAGTTAGGGAAATCGTATGACATTAACCGCCGAGTCTTTTAGTAGGCTAAAAATCATGGAGAGGCTTTGTATCCCTGGTGGTGTTTGAGTGGCAACACATGCAAAAGACAGTAAAAGATTGGCTAAGTCCAATTTGCAGGTTATGCAGAAGGAAAAGAGATGGCGTCAAGGGAAGCGACTTCTGAAGACTCATCGAGAGGAAGCCCTTCAAGAAGCTGAAGGAGTTACTTATGAACCAGGAGGCTTTTAAATTACTTTTAGATACTCCTGTGGACAAAATATGGACACTTGGGCCACTATAGTGGTTACATATTGTAAAAAATTAAGTTTGATTGCTATCTGCAAGTTTAAAGGCTATTTTCTCATTACGCAAAATTTTGTCTTCAAGAAAAGATATCTTGACAACAATTTATCCAATTGATCTGAAATTTTCAGCATTTGTTCCTTTTGATAAGTTTTGTGTTATAAACAGAGCAATTTTCCATATGATATATGTACTTAAAGTTATGAAGTGAAACACCCCTCTGATTTTCCATGTCAAATTTAATTGATCATCATTTAAAATGTTTTCAACATATTAGAAATCCCTCTGCTTATAACAATAAGCAACATGTCTTCTCCAGAAGGAGTTATCTTTTCTTAAGTAACTCCTGGTAGAACCCTGCAGGTGGCTCAATTAAACGAGTGGTATCCTATTACAATAGGCATGTTGAGTCTGAAATATTTTTTTTCATGATCTTCAAGTCAAGCTTTCCAGGGATATATAGTTTGCCTAAGTTTTGAAGTAAGTCCTAGCTGTGAAAAATGAGTGAAAAATGGGCATTTTTTCAGGTTTACCCCCGCCTTGAGGAGGCTCTATAGGGTTTTTGCACAATGTTCGCGCGCGCCATCGTTGTTTTTCTAGATTTTTTTTGTTAAGGTCACTAAAAGCCGTCAAAAGGTGATGCTGTCCTTGTCACCTAAGAAACGGTTACAATCCATTATTAACGTGCAGATCACGTTCCAATCGAAACAAGGGTGCTGATTAAAATGCGTGGCCAAATAAACTTATCTTGTAAAACGTGTCGGCCTTTTTATGTAACTTGGCTTTTTACTAACGGGGGAATAGAAAGTGTCGTGGCAAAGTGTTCTGGAGCAAAGATCAGAAGTTTAAACGGGGGATCTTGTGTCAATACCACGGGATTAAGGATCGGTATCGGTGAATTTTTGCCGATCAATTGATCAGAAACTCAAAGTTCTTAACAAAATTTACTGAGAGGTTATCCTCGGGGTAATTTGCAAACACCCCGCCAGTTTCTTAACACTTTTTTTTCCAAACTACTTGCGATCTTTGCTTTCACGGCGACTGTTTTCGATGCGCGGTACGGTAGTAATTATAAAATATTCCGGTTTGTTTTCCCTCAAACAGGATAATGACAGAACACTTTCGCAGAATAAGTTTCTACAATAGGAGCTAATTGACTACTGCCGTCTAGTTGCTTTTAAAGTAGAGTTTCAATGGCAGGTGTAATAGCCTTTACGGCTTATGGTTAAAGTTTTGGTCAATTTACAGGTATTAAAACACTCTCGTGGACAGGTAAATGGTCTACTCATAATGCCATGTCAGTCATAGCATCGGAACTACAAGCAATAGTTCTACACGTTTTCTTGGCTTAATTTCCTTCGGAAGCAATGTTTTTCCCTGTGTCAGACGCTGGAACAAAAGGAACTTAAAACCCTCTTGAATCGAACCTTTTTAAAGTTGATGGTAAAATTGATGGTAAAATTATTAAGAAAATTATTAAGAAAATTATTATTATTGAGCGTTCTCTATACTTTTTGCTCTTTTTACTTTTCCTTCAGTGGACGAATAATTCATCTCTTTACGAGTGAAGACAACACTGTCGTCATGGCGACCAGGTTCGGCAAAATGGCGGATTTGCTTTTAGCGTGTAAAGTGGTCTGTTGCTCACACCAATCAGATCACCGTGTTGGGATATATGTCTTGCACCAATCAGATTGCCGCATTAAGGTATCTATTTCGCACCACTCAGATAGCTGCATTAGAGTGTGAATTTCAAACCAATCCTATCACCGTATTTGGATATCACAGCGTTTGGGTATTGTTTTCTTGCAAATGATATCATGGATCAAGGGAATGTGCAAAAAGAAAGACGTTAACCAGAAATTTTGGGCTCGTTTGAGAATTGCCATGGTTTGTGACCTTCACGAGAACCTCGTCGATTAAGGTGGAGATGTATCGGAATATGAAGGGTTGGCATTTAACTTTTTTTGGGTCATTTTTTAGTTAAAAAGAGTTTTTCCCGCTCCTTATGTAACTTACATTCCATTACGTACAATGGAAACCAAAGTCCAATCAGAACATACCCAATAATTGCACTACACGAACATCAGGCAATTTTTCACCTTCTTGAATTGTATTCCACCACTCAAATTCCATTTTTCCGAAATAGACTTTACTGAAGTAGCTTTCAAACGAGCTGAGTTTACCTGACAGTGTTTACTGCATTCAGTGACCGTAAAATACGTTTTAAAACTGTCTAATCAAAAAATACGTGATCATTATCTTTATGATAAACAGAACAACTGTGCTTCAATTTTGATTCAACAGAAAAAGGGAATGAGGGGTGCAATTCATTCTGCTTTCGAGGCAGGACCGCTCAACACTCCTCTGAATTCAATTTAAATTCTTTTGCATATGGTTATAAGGATGTTTTGAAGGCGCACATGCCATAGGCAGGCGATTAAGAAGTTCTGAAAGCCTTGAAATAGGAACTCCCCCATTTGGAATTTGGGCTACAATCAATCATAATTTAAGAATTTTATGAGATATCACACTCAAACAGAATAAATGAACAGTATTTTTCAGTACTCCTGGATAGGAAAAGCATCTCTAAACAAAAAAAAAATAGATTCTTCTGTAACAGTAAGTTAACAAACAGGTTGGAAACCATTGTATTTTTGACAATACTCCATATTTATGACTCCTGTTTCTAATGTGTCTCACTACTCATTATCAGTGATTCTCTTTTGTCAGCAGATCGCAAACTAGTTTCCACATATATCTAGATCTTCTCGTTAAACTTTTTTACACGCGAGTGGGATCAGTTCGTTCTATCTTTGACTCTTTCTCTGGCGTTAAAAGTGCAGCCGTTCGGTTTTTTTCCTTCTATTTCGTCCGTCTAAATGGCTGCTCTCTTCTTTGTAAAACACAAAAAAACGCTTGCTGAAACTTAGGAATTCTAAGCGCATGTATAAGGAATAAAACCGAACGGCTACACTTTTACGTTCGTGTTGTACGAAAAGAGGAGAGCAGCCATAGGAACGGGAAAATCGGAAAAAGAGACCGAACAGCTGCACTTTGGGCGCTGGAGATGGAGCTAACAATATTACCAACCGACCCCATTCCCTTTTAAATAGAGTCTGAACATAAAAAATTTTAATCGCAAAATATGATTATTTACTACCTGTTTGATTACTTTTTGTTGCAGTAGAACCTTTTTGTTGTCTAGAGATCGATTCCC